TATTTAATTTAATGCAAATAAATATAAATAATGCATTAGATTTAGAAACTTAATATTTATGGAAATATAGTCGAGCTCCATAAATAGTAAATAAAAATCTGGGCGTTACAGAACATAACTCCAATTGATATGAAATATCATACTAGATCGACTTTAATGGATAAGAAATAATATAATGAAGACTAAACCTACATACGGGCTATACAAATGTCATAATGGTATTTTTAAAGTCAAACATAGGCACTAAGGTGCACCTCCCCTATAAAAGGGGCATAAGGTATAACAAAAATAAAAAAAACGCATTTTCTCTACCTATAATGCTCTCCTACCCACGATGGACACATGTTAATATATCCACCGCTTATGTGGCATGCAGATATCGGTGATGTTAATATGTTCAAAAAAATACATCACCAATAAGTGCATGTCACATAAGCGGTGGGCATATTAAACATGTACCCACTGTGGGTAGGTGAGCATTACACTGTTCTCTCTACATTCACTACTATACTCTTATATATCACTTTATCTCTGGCAAGTGCTGACTTAGACATCGAAGGCTCGACGCCGAGACTCTTCCCGGTGTGGGGTTCTTACAAGTACGGATGTCGTTCGAGTTGGAAAAGCCTGGGTGAACTCAACTCCATTTCACCAAACACCAATAATATTCAAAACTTACTAAATCAAAGTTGATTGCATTCTAGGTGGGGGAGTTGAAGGTGAAACGGACCACCTAATGCTCATACAACCAATCCTAACTAAATTATCAAAATGTCTCTCCCCATAGCCATAAAGATAGGCAAATGAATTAACTCTTGGCTCCCATGTCACAAACAAACTCCCAAATATGGAACAAATAATTTCCACAAAACCCTAATAATTCGATCCAACAAAAATTAAAAAAAGGACACCTGAAAATGAAACGTCTCCATATTTTCACCCAACAGAAACAATGCGTGGAGTAACCGCTTTGAAGAGACGTGATAGCCTGATTCTCTCTCTCTCTCTCTCTCTCTCTCTCTCTCTCTGTAATTCAACTCCAAACCCACACACCTCAATTAACTGCACAGAGTGATCAACCCCCCGATTATATATAATCCCCCCTTATCCCAAACACCCCTTTTTTGTAGCAACATTGGATCTGGAAATTATCCCATATACTGATCGTTCTATTTTTCCGGCAAAGGATATCAGAAAAATGTGTTGCGGGTCGAGATTGTGCTGTCTGTGCATGTGCGTGGTTTTAGTGGTGGTCGCGATTGGGCTTCTCTTCGGATTTGGCGTGTTCAAGCATGGTTTTCACAAGTTGCAGGACACCATCCACGTTTGCGACCCCGCCGCCGGTTTGTGCGGCCGGCGCTCTTATGGTTTCGGCGCTCCGCCGCCGTACTAGGAGATGTTTTATCTCCCAAAATTGTTCTTTTTCTTTTTTTTTGCCAATTTTATTCTTCTTTTTTTTTGTTCGTTTTTTTTTTTTT